TTGTTTTCTTTCAGCACCTTAAGCACATCACTCCACTTCCTTCAAGCCTCCGTGGTTTCCGCTACGAGATAGGATGTTAATCTTATTGGCGATTTCTTGTATGTGACAAGTCACTGCTCTCTTGCTGCTTTCAAGCCATTCTGTCTCATTCTGGATCTCTTTGCATTTATTCTTTATGAAATTCATTGAGCTTCTTGGATGTGCAGATACATTATGTCTTTTCATTAAATTAAGANTGTGGATGAGCCATATTTTCTTGTTTCTATGAATGTCTCATAATTTTTTGTTAAAAACTGGGTGTTTGAATATTATAATGTGTTAATTCTGAATATAAGATTTTCCCCTTTCAGAGTTTGTTTTTGTTGCTTTTCAGAGATTTTTGTTGTTTTTATTGACCCTTTAAAGCTATTTTTGTAAAATGTGTATTCTCTGTTATGTGTGATGTCTGAAGTCTCTGTNATAAATTAGTTTGACATAATATAAGATCAATATACAAAAATTAATTGCATTTCTATACATTCATAATGACCAATCTGAAAATAAAATTTAAAAAACAGTTACATTTTCCATGGCATCAAAAAGAATAAAATACTTAAGAATATATTTAACAAAATGAATACTAAACTTGCATACTGAAATCTACAAAACGTTGTTGAAAAGAATTAGAGATCTAAATAAATGAAAGAACTTACCATGTTCATAGATAGGAATACTTAACACTGTCAAGATGGCAATATTCTCCACACTGATCTACAGATTCAATGCAATCCCTGCTAGAATCTCAAATGACTTNCCAGTTTTTGCAGACTGGCTTTGTCCTGTTTCAATGCTTAGTTAGAACATTTACAACTTTGCCTTAGACTTCATTTCTTGCCTATGCTGAGTTGCTTTGAGTTGCATTGTTTTTTGAGTCAGTGTTCACTCAGTTGCTATAAACTTATGACTATTTATTAGAATTTTTGCTTGATTTTTCAGTATTTAATACATTAAATACACTAAAAACTATCAATAATAAATTAGTTTGACATAATATAAGATCAATATACAAAAATTAATTGCATTTCTATACANGGAAGGAAGGAAGGAAGGAAGCAAGGAAGGAAGGAAGGAAGGAAGGAAGGAAGGAAGGAAACTTCTCCCAGTTTTTGCAGACAGGCTTTGTCCTGTTTCAATGCTTAGTTAGAACATTTACAACTTTGCCTTAGCCTTCATTTCTTGCCTATGCTGAGTTGCTTTGAGTTGCATTGTTTTTTGAGTCAGTGTTCACTCAGTTGCTGTAAACTTATGACTATTTATTAGAATTTTTGCTTGATTTTTCAGTATTTAATATGCTAAATACACTAAAAACTATCACTAATAAATTAGTTTGACATAATATAAGATCAATATACAAAAATTAATTGCATTTCTATA